CTCCTGAAATACAACCTCCTGAAATACAAACTCCTGAAATACTAACTCCTGAAATACAAACTTCTGAAATACAAATTCCTGAAATACAAACTTCTGAAATACAAACTCCTGAAATACAAACTCCTGAAATGCAAACTAATTAATTAATTATCTCTTGAAGTTAATCTTAGCTCCGGCCATACTGCAATGTGGTTGAGAGTTTAGTTAGGGGGGGGGGCAGAGTGCTGCGGCTAGAATATGTTACCTGGTAATTATCCCAGTAAAAACAATGTTCTTGTCAGGAGTTTCTCTTTCAGGAGTTTCTCTTTCAGGAGTTTTTCTTTCCAGAATAATTGTGATGGCGCCTGTTTAATTATTAATATTTAGGTACTTATACTGGTTCTACATCTCTACCCAGTGTACTGGCAGGGAAGTGCGATGGTACAACATGTACAACACTAACTACAGAATTGGCAACTGTAAAAAGTTGTCTCACAAACCCTTCTGATGCTGCTTGCACAGGTAAAGTGTTCTTACATATTAAACATATTAAAGAGACAGTCGTTGTTATTTCAAGTGACCTTTTATTTAACGAGAATTCACACCCTTTAACCTTTTATTTGATCAACAATGCAGAACATATCATCGTCTTTTTTTACTTGAAAGATGTTTAATTCTTCAACTTTTTCCATTGTTTTTAAATAAAAACTTTGCAAGTTAATTTATATATAAACTCCATTCGAAAATGATTTTCATTTAATTTTCGTCTACAGTCCCTTTATGTCAGAAAATATAATTTAAAAAAATGTTAAGTTATATATTTCAAGGAACATATGGTGCTGCAACAGCTCTGCCTGCTGTACTGGCCGGAAAGTGTTCTGGTACAACTTGTACAACACTCAATACTGATGTTACTTCAATAAAAAGCTGCTTTACAGATCCTACAGCTGCAGCCTGTACAGGTTCGTACAACCATATACTTCTATGATTTGCTTTTGTGCGTCCCCCAATTGAGCCTCATCAATATTGTGTGATTCCTCAAGTAAATCCTAACTTTGTGTCCTTATAAGCTAATTTGAGGAACGCACACATATAGAGTCTCCTATTTCTATTGCTTAAAACATTTGTAAATCATGTGTTTGAATCAGGTACATACAGTGCTAGTACCTCCTTGCCCTCTGTACTGGCTGGAAAATGTAATGGTGCAACATGTACAACCCTTACAGGAGAAATGGCAACAGTTAAAAGGTGTTTAACAAATCCAGCTGATGCATCCTGTACAGGTAAATAACATTAACCCCATAGATACATTTTAGTATTTTACACAATGAGCCCAATTTTATTTTTAAAAGGCAGAAACCAATTAAATTTTATTCCGGGTGTTGTCCCGGTTTGCCTTGAATAGTCTGTAATTGTACTGTACAGCTTTCTCTAGCCTGGTACTTGAAATGAACCAGAGAAAGGCTTCTTTGCTTTTCCTAAACTTGAACATATGGAGCTGAAACTTCTCTACCTGGTCTACTGTCCGGAAAAATCGACGGTACAACTTGTACAACACTTACTAATGACGTAAAACCATTAAAAACTGCTCTACAGATTCAACAGCTGCAGCCTGTACTTGACTGTACAAATATTATAAGTATTCATTGATGTTCATATTGTGTTGATTCAGGTACATACAGTGGTAGTACATCTTTGCCTACTGTACTAGCTGGTAAATGTGACGGTACAACATGTACAACTTTAATAACTGATGTAACTGCACTGAAGGCTTGTATGTCTACTCCAACCAATGCTGCATGTACGGCTACCTATGGTTCTGCAGGTAAATCTTTTTTTTTTAATTTGATAACATAGCAGTTGTTTTTGTACAGTGCCAACCATAAAACTGTGGGATGATTGTATTCTTTGTTCTTTTCTTATACAATTTTGAAGTTTATAATTGTTACAACCGATTTATTTCTAAATATGTTCATGGACCGAATTTAATGAGCTTGAGCTAGGTCCCTAGATAACCTACCACCAGTTCAAATCCTGAATCCCAGTTTTAATCCTTATGAAACTTTAATTTTAAACCGTTGATTTAGGATTTGAACCAGTTGTAGGTCGTTTAGCGACCTAGCTCGAATTCAATGAATTCGGCCCCATTATACATTCTCGTGTTTTATGCTAATCACTGTATTTGAAAGCTAATTCTTATTTTCTCTGAAACATTACTTCCTTAACTGTACTGTACATGTAAAACTGTACAGGAACTATTCCTACTGCACTGGCTGCTAAATGTGAGTCATCAACCTGTACAATACTTACAACCGACCTAACAACAGCCAAAGCATGTCTCACTGACTACACAGCAGCAACATGTACAGGAGTATACGGAGCTGCTACAACAATACCAACCAAGTTAAACCAGGTACAGATAGGGGTCTGATGATACAGGGAGTGGAGTTCCTGTCACGGGATGGTTATTGCGGGAACTTTAAAATACGAATACATTATCAAGTTGAAAGAATGTTAATATTATTTAAAATATTTAATGTTTCCAAGTACTGGACTCCTTCTTTTTAAATTTGAAATACAACAATTGTAGTCGAAGATTGGGCATATATATTACTATTGGTTGAGCAATATTGAATACGGAAATACACAAATTAATTTTTAAACCAACTGGGATAAAGGGTAAAAGCTCTCTCGCTTAGAGGATATCAGGGGTTTAGAAGTAAATTGTAGAGAAATAATCAGAAATTTTATGGAAACTCCTACAAAAAAGGATAATGCAATGCCTAAATAAAAAAACAGGCCCATGTCATGTCATTTTTTCCCATTTCCATTGAAGAAAGATTCCAGAATCTCGGAATGTTTCCGGAACGATTTTTTTTCCGTAAACCGTTTCCCGGAATTCCAATTCTGGATCATTCCATTTCTAGCATAAATTTTATTCCTAAATAATGGTAATTCTAGTTAACATGTATATGTATTGTATTATGTACAGATGGACAAGTGCATGACAAGTATAGATGACGCTACATGTACTGCTGGGTACGGTACAAGGGTCAACTCAGGAGGAACTGGTTTAGTGGCCTGGGCTCAACAATTAAGTAAGTATTTTTATCAAAATGATTAATTTTATCGAAAATTTTAATAATGAAATATTTATAATTAATGTAAATTATATCTTATATTTATATTTTCAAAAATTGCAGATTTTCAGTTAAATGCAATATTTTTAGAGAAACCAAGTGTTGTACAGTGTGGATTTGGAGTTAAAACTGGAGCATTACCGTTTATCAGGTGATAACAAAAACCTGCACTTTTTCTGAAATTTCAAGCTTTCCTTTAAACAGATTCAAGATATTTCCTACAGTTTTAATCAGAAATAACCAAATGACATAATCTTAATTAGATAATTAGATTAGTTTCATTTTTTAATCAAGCTCATTTTAATTTTATGAGAATACAAATAATTTGAAACAAAAGTGTTAACTAAATCAGACCAAAAAACCAAAATTAAGAAAATTTTAAAACTTTTAATTTTCAGGACAACTGATACAGCTGAACCAAACAGTTGCAGTGTCTTCCCGTAAGTTTTTTTCCAAAAAATTTGGGATAACATTGTGCTCATTTTTACCTATAGGAGACCAGGTAATAACTACAAACATAAGAGCGAGCATGAACTCTTTCTCTTCGGCTCATGCAAGCGTCCCAAAGACACAGGAACACTCGGACTCCGTTGAGACTGGAGTCTTGTATACGTACCAAACTAAGATATCAACCAACTAGAGCTAAATAGCCAAAAATTTCAGGATATTTGAAACTATATGATCATTTATAATATTACTAGACTTGTTCTTGATTAAACAAACATTATTCCTTAACAAGACCTGTTACTTCTCTTGCAAGAACGTGCACTTAACTAAGTAGCAAACTAATTATTATTTAAACTAATTTCACTGACGTACATTAATAGCAAATTTACTAGTAAAACAAGTTTAAATATTATGCTACATAATTCTAGCTTTTCAAAATTCACATTTGAAATTAAACACTCGCTGGGGAGACCTCAGCCATGCAACTTTTGCCCAATTAAGGGGTAAACTTCGCATGGAGGAGGTCCAAAAGTGAGGCATGGCTCAAATTTGGTCATGTGACAAGGAACTTCGCGCCTTTCAGTAAACGGTTGATGTAAATTTTTCCTAAATATAAAAAGAAGTCCAGGCTGAAAAACAAGGACACGGAAAGGACTTGAACCTCCAATCCATTACTGGAGCTCATTGTCATCCCCGCCCTTTGTGATTTGATTTGATTTGATACGTAGAGATCCAAAGACACAGGAACTCTCGGACTCCGTTGAGACTGGAGTCTTGTATACGTAGAGAATTCATGACCCACCCAAGGCACAGGGGGTCAAGATTAGTAGGTGGGAGTAGAGTAGAGCATCCGCATCCCAGAGACCAAGGATGCAGATAGGTTTAGCTCCGCGAGCCAGCGGAGAGAACTGAACCATCTCAGGAAGAGAACTGAACCATCTCAGGAAGAGAACTGAACCATCTCAGGAATCAAACACACAGGGGAGACATCTGCATGTTGAAGAGGAGTGGAACTTATCCGGGAGTCAGCGGAGTAAGTCAGGTTACATATCAACGGGACTCAGAGCCAGCCTAGCATAAGAGTTGTTGAAGTGGTTGTGAGAATTCAGGATAATTTGTAAGCTCAACTTTTAATGTTCATAATTAATCACCTGGTTCAGTGCGTGGAGGCATGCACGGAACTTTTGAGGGAAGAATTACAATTATCACAACAAATCTATACATATTATATAAACCATCCGTTAGAAAAGAGTCAAGCAATATGGAGTAAAAGTTTCCATGTGAACATTTAAATCACGGATGATTTATAAACCTGGAGAAAGAGAATGAAACCAAGTGGGAGGGGTACGACTAACCCATCTTGGTCTGAAAGACAAGACCAAGTATTAAAACTAAATAGCTAGACTTTTAAGCATTTAAAAAACTTATCGACAATTCTGTTTTAAGACATGTACGATAGTAGAAAATTAGACTCAATTTCAAGAATATAAAATAGGCTTCAGAAAGGTTTACATCAAAATCTTAGATTGGTAGTTTGAATGGTAAGATAGATAATGGTAGATTCAATGTATTTGTAGAGATTTGTAGGATTAGTTGCTTGAAGATAGGGGTTCTCTGTAGGACAAGCTGGAGAACTTCTCGACTTTGAACACCCTGAACACACATTAGTTTATAAAGATCCACAGATCTTACAAACATCATAATTGAGGTCAGAATTAATAAAAAGTAAGTCGTAGTTAAACTAACTACAACTAGTTGAACTACTTATATATGTTTGGCCAAGATATAGATAAAGTATTTAGTTATAATTAGATTTATCGCTCGTTTTTTATCATGCATTATTTCAAGCTCGACCTTCAGTCATAAATTAGCATGTCCGATTCACAACAGTACCCTTCAAACCTTGGCTGAGTAACAATAATTAGGATATTGTCTTTTTTATTTCTTGAAAAGTGTTGAATTCTTTCAATCGCTTTCATTGGCTTTGCATGCATTATCCGCCAGTCCCTGTTACAGAGTAATCACAATTGAAAGTAATCAATTTTCATCTAGAAAAAGGACAATGATTAGAAAAAGTATTAATACCATTGTGAATCTAACATGCTACTTGAATTGAGCGCGGTTCATTCATATGATTTTATTTTCAGTCCCTTAGAATACGACTTCGAGGTGTTTTATTTAAATATTTGTATCGACATGACAGTTTTCTCTTTTCCTAACCCTATCTCTGCTAGAACATCAAGACGATTTTCTTTTGATTCCCATGTTGGGACGATGAGACTTTTTAATTATCGAAAAAACCTCCAACTCTTTATTTGAGTTTTGTTCCATTCCACGTTTCCGTCATCTGGGTAGCAGAGACAAATTTAATGACTCATTTTTAAAATGTTTTAACATTTTATATTTAGGAGTTATTATCGAGTTGTGTTTAAGTCTTGCGTTCAGTCCGAGCCAGATAATACAGATAAATATCATATGCAGGTATACAATATCCTGATAATACAGATAAATATCATATGCAGGTATACAATATCCTGATAATATAGATAAATATCATATGCAGGTATACAATATCCTGATAATGCAGATAAATATCATATGTAGGTATACAATATCCTGATAATACAGATAAATATCATATGCAGGTATACAATATCCTGATAATACAGATAAATACCATATGCAGGTATACAATATCCAGATAATACAGATAAATATCATATGCAGGTATACAATATCCTAATAATACAGATAAATACCATATGCAGGTATATAATATCCTGAAAATACAGATAAATACCATATGCAGGTATACAATATCCAGATAATACAGATAAATATCATATGCAGGTATACAATATCCTGATAATACAGATAAATACCATATGCAGGTATATAATATCCTGATAATACAGATAAATACCATATGCAGGTATACAATATCCTGATAATACAGATAAATATCATATGCAGGGTATACAATATTCTGATAATACAGATAAATATCATATGCAGGTATACAATATCCTGATAATACAGATAAATATCATGTTCAGGTATACAATATCCTGATAATACAGATAAATATCATATGTAGATATACAATATCCTGATAATACAGATAAATATCATATGTAGGTATACAATATCCTGATTATACAGATGTATACCTTATTAGGTACAAATAGAATGTGAAGACGACAACAAAATATTACAGTATAAATCCACGTGATAATTTAGCAAACAATAGACAACACATGGTGATACATAGCTGGAGATTACTGACTGCAGGATTCAACTGTGAGCAAATTAGTCGAAGCTAGAATACAAGAATACGACCTTCTAGCATCGTCTTCTATATTGTCAGCCATTAAAAAATCTGATAATATCATTTTATTACAGCCCGATGCCGCGACGGATTCACAGGAAGTGCAAATAAAACAAGATGGATGGTATCAGGTGGATAAATTTATAAATTTATAAATTTAGAAAATTTAGAAAGCAAAAAAATTATGCCGAGTTCAAAGGTTTGGTATTTTTATTGCATGCATAGTTTCCTTTTCCCTGGCAGGATGTAGTTAAGCCATCCCTTTCATTTATTTCCTATTTATCTCAGGATGGGTTTTCCTTAAATCATATATTTGAACTTAAATCCTTCAATTTAAAACTTAAGGCTGCCAATCATAAGTTTCAGCGTCAGATATTACCGTTGTAAGTTTGTCGTTGCAGAAAGGAAACACTCGCCACAAACTCTAATTTCTATACCCTGATGGTGTAAATTTGGATATATTGAACTGAGGAAATTTGTTCCAGCAAAATTCATGGTTTGAAATATCGAAGGTTTAACTATGGTTGCAGAGATGAAGAGATTAGACAATTATAGATTTTTTGTAGTGTTCAGTTCCGTTACTACAAAATCCTGCTTAGAAATATAAATTTACTAGCTTTATAGGGCGCTTCGCGCCCATCTTCTAAATTAATTGTGAACATGTTCTCTTTGTGTACATCGTAAAACAAAACAAAAATAATAATATATAATTAAGATCTCGAGTAAAAACCCAACAGCTGCATGTTCTGCAGCTGCTACTGCCTGCACGGAGCTACTCACACAAGAAGCTAAAAATGATGTATGTCAAATTCTTGAGTTTGAATTTAAATGAAATGTAGTTTAATTTTCTTTATTTATAGAGTGACTTGTCTAATTCCCTTCGGTATCCTTTCCAGCTTTCTCTTTAGTTGTATATCCTTATTGTTCTAGCTTTAAATGGAATATTTTCAATTATGATATCTCTACTAAAGTAACTTATCTATTTCTGCCGCACAGCAATTGAAGGAAATTAACAAATCAAAGACCTTTCAAGAAAAAACGACGAAGTATTCCACATTATCAATCAGATAAAGGTTTAAAAACTACCCTTTTAAATTGGACATTTCACTCTGTAAATGAGTAACCTATTAAAATTACGTCCTAAAGTTTCTTAACATTGAGAAAAAATTATAAAGAAGTTTTCCTGGAAAATTATTCCTTATCTTCTTCCTCACAAAGATATCTATTTTTAAAAAGGGAGAAAATGTTTTAAACCTGGAAAATATTGAATTTCACCAAATTTTCGTTGATTGTATAGACAATAAAGCGAAATATAAGTGCTTTATTTTTGTTATTTATCAGTTTTTAACTTGTGATTATCCTTTTATTGGTCAAAAACTTGTCTGGATAAAAAAAAAATATTTTTAGGTGACTGGTACATCTCTCGATGCTCCATTCAATAGTGAAGGAGCATTCCAATTGTGCAGCGGAGATAAAATAATTGCAATATTCAGCAAAAATGGTTTGTATCCAATCTTTTCTAATAATGTAATAGGATAATGATTATATTTTAATGATACCTTCCAGAGGCAGAGCAACACAATTTTCATTCAATTTCTAGAATTTCACATGAAAAAATTGATAATAAAATATTTTAAACTCGTATCACTTTAGTATTAAAACAACAAAAATAAAAATAAAAAAGTTTTTTTTTCATCGAACTTAATGTTTTATTTTTGTTTAGGAGGAGCAACTGCTCAGACAGAAACTACTATATCAGATACTGCTAAACTAGATCAAACCATTCTGACTGTCACTAAAATCTGGTATTCCTAGATAGATCTTAGATCCTAGATCTTAGATCCTAGATCTTAGATCCTAGATCTTAGATCCAACATCCTAGATCTGAGATCCTAAACCTTAGATCATAGATGTTTGGTTGAAAATATCCCAAAATTCTTTTATTGTTTAATCTGTGATTTGTAAACTTGAATCTCGATGTCTTGCTAAAGTTAAAGATGGCAGCTAAAACAGGAAAGGACGAACATTTTTAAATTAAATGTCGTTTTCAACGCTAAAAGAGCAACCTCCTGGTTATGAAACAATTCATTATTCATTATTTTCTAAAATCGTTATTTTGAGAGGTATCTTCTGTTTATTAAATGATGATAGTCTGACAAAGTGAAAAAAATACTTCCAATATTTTTTAAAGAATCAGTATTAAAAATTAGGGTTAACAAATTTATCATTAAATTGTGTACCTTAATTAGTTACAACCCATTCAGAGTTTAATATTTAAGATATCATGTTTTTTTTAACGTTTTGCATAAATTTAATATCTTAATTTAATGGTATTAATTTATTCTAACTGCCATATTTGTTTTTACCCGGTGTTGGTGCTTTGTAATATATTTGCTTTTTAATATTTGTATTTTTTTAATTTGGAGGTGTGTACATTGCAGAACTGAAGAACAACAAGTTAGATATCCCCCCTCCTCTCTTTTAACATGGGTTATATATCTCCCCTCCTCTCTTTTAACATGGGTTAGATATCTCCCCTCCTCTCTTTTAACATGGGTTAGATATCTCCCCTCCTCTCTTTTAACATAGGGTTTGGGAAAAGGAAATATAATTTATATTGATCTCTGTACACACCCAATTGTTTATTTACTCTTTTATTTCGAAATTATATTGATAACTTAAAATTGAATAAAAATATCAATTTAATAAACTTAACATTTTTTGTACAACTGCAACTTGGAAACACAACGTTACCCTAAAAAGCTTTGTTTGATAGAGATGCATGAGCTGTCCAGGTTTCTATTTTTTAATTATGAATTTTTTTCCACTGTGGTTTCTCTTTAAAATTATTTTGCAGATGTCAACGTACAGAAACAATAGAGTTTATTGTCAACGAATTTTGTGCAACTTCCTGAATGTAATAAATAAACAATTTATAAACAAATAAATAAACAGCTGAAAAATTGTTGTATCCGCCTTTTCTTTCAATCAGAAATATCGATTTTACAACACTTATTTTTTTAGCATGATTCATATTTCAGAAAAAAATTGAAAAAAATCAAATTGCACATAACATATTTTTCTAAATGATTATTAGCCAAGTTAAAACGTATATACAGTGAAACCCTTAATAACGAATACTTTGGAATAATTTATCAAATGTCGTCTTGACAATTTTTCAATGAGTTTTTTACTATATTACGTAAATTTCAGTATTTGCGAAAATAAATAAATAGCCATGAATATACGGGAACATAAAGAGTTTAATATTATCATTTAATTAAAAAACTAAAAATCTGCAACATTCCATTATCAGAAAGTGAAGAATACGACATTTGATGAATTCTTTCGATGTATTCGTTATTAAGGGTTTCACTGTACTAAAGCACAAATTCCGTAAGTGAACAGCTGACTTAAGTAAAATTGAGAGTTAGTCCATTCGACCATTAGTCCAATTGATTTAGCATTAGATAATTGCATCTCATGCTTCAGTGAATTAAATGATACTTGAATAAAGTCAAGATTTTACATTATTGTAATAAAGTACATTTGTACTTGTAAATTTTTGACACTTTGCGTTCAAATGTACGATTTGTAAACACATATGCTTCAAAAAATATTTTTCTAAATCATATAACAAAAAGCTAAATTACTTTGAAGAAGTTAATCTGAAATGTCGTCTTTTATCTTTCAACATCATCCTTCAACAGTAGGAATTCGTCTACGACAGAAACACAATGTGGGAAAACACTATTTAAAGAATTTTGGATATTTATTGAAAGCGTAGATTTCTTATTATTTTACATTTTACACATTTCTACAGGGTGAACTGTGCATAATGCATATGGAGGGAAACTTAACACAACATACTTTTAAGAAGACACCCTGTGTAAATGTCTAAAACCATCAACATAATTAAAATTATATATACGGGGTGTCCCAATAAACATGGGAATTCAGTGACGAATTCGATATCGTCATTTTAAATAATTCTATGATTTAGTATAGTGATACCTACTGAGAAAGTTGTAATCTGTAATAGTTTCGTCTGCTATGTTCATATTTTGTTTGTCTATGTTTTGCCTGTATACGGCTGTACTTAGTAAAACAAGAAAATTACAGTAAACAAACAGAGTAAACTTGTCCGTCTTCACTGCTCATCTTGCGGAGACATTATAGACCCATCTTTACATCTTTTACCCTTTTCATAAAATAAACTCTAGCAGACATAATAATATAATAACTTTTGGTATTACAATGCTAATTCATAACAAAGACGATATCGAATTCGTCACTGAATTCCCATGTTTTTTGGGACACCCTGTAGTTAATGTGAGGATTCCACAGCCGTAATACAATGGTAATAAAAGATTCATCAATAGATTACACAATATTATTATAATATAATAACAGGGGTTAAAATTATAAAAATAGAGAGGATTAGTTCAACAAGGTCTCTACCTAGTTAAACTATTTCTCTCTAGTACAATAAATCTTAACTTAGATGATCTTAAAGAAAGAGGAATTATTAGAGATGACTAAGAAAGGCGAGAAAAATGTTATCACATGTAATTTTTACTTTGTATATTTTAAGATAAGTTAGGATTTTCTGAGAACCAATCTAAGACCTTGTTCCAGAAAGGCTAAAATTGACGAGTTGCATCGTTTATATACAGTGTGTCCCACGAAACATGACAGTTGTCAAATAGGTTTTAAATGTCTTCTTCCATATGTAATTTTAGATATTAAAGACTTTTTGCATGTCATTTCGTTAAAACCATCTTTTTCTCAAATAATTTTACTTTGAAATCAATTTTACAATAATATTTACAATAATTATTATCATTTACAAAGCAAACGGCATGAAATGTTTATTTAATTTCTTAAGTTTTTAAAGTTTGAAAAAGATATAGCAACTGATTCTTCCCTGAATTGATATTTTAGAGATAGTTGAGATTTCTGAAAATTTTTCTCTTTTACAGTGAGAACCAGAAAACAGTTTTACTAATAACTCATCTAATCACTTCTGAACTAAAATGGGCTGTTTACACTGCACAACTTCTGTGACTTATGTTCAATGGACTATTTAAAGTCATAACTTGAGTCTAAAAATCGTCTTGCTATTACAGAGTTTCATGCTTATCTTTGTAGATATAATTTGAGTGTACATACAGGGTGTTTCCCCTTAAAAGGTGTATTCATGATTGCACAATCTCAGGTCGAAATAGGCCAATTCAAGCCGCATGTGCTTTCACTGGCCCTGTAATTAAAAAACAAGAACAGAATACGAAAAAATACGAAAATTACGGTGACACCGTCGTGTGAGTTTTACAGAAACATTTGCTCAGTTTGACACAAACTGAGCATCAGGAATATAAAAAATATGCAAATATTTTCTGCACAGTTTAGGAAAGCCTTATAGAGAAAGTAATTAAACTTTTATGCTAAAAGTTTGAAATGTCAAAATAAATGGTATAAACATGACTATCCAGAAAGGAAAAGACTCAAAATGTTTACCTAACAATGATTTAAATGTAGATTTATAGTTGTCATATTCAAGATTTTCAGGATAATTTATACTGAAGTTTGAAAAACAACATGAATAGTTTGATAACTAAAGTATATATAGTGGGTAGAGTATAGATAGATGGATAGTCGACTAAAGGTTGAATAGTAGGTAGACTAAATTATAGATATAGTGGGTAGAGTATAGATAGAAGTGGGTAGAGTGTAGATAGATGGATTGTAGATTAAAGGTTGAATAGTAGGTAGATTAAATTATAGATAGAGTAGGGAGAGTATAGATAGATGGATAGTAGACTAAATTATATATAAAGTAGGGAGATTAAATTAAAGATAAAGTAGGCAGATAGATAGGTAGATATTAGGTAAGTTGAACTATTGATAAAGTTTAAAGGCAGAATAGAAAAATTTGATAGTTAAAAAGATATTAGACTAAAGCTAAAATAGTTAGATATATATATTATAATTATAGATAAAGTAGGTAGATAGATATAAGGATACATAGTGCACTCCAAGTTTGAAAGGTTAGGTAGGTTGCCCCACAAGTCTCCAGTTTTGTTGTATTAAAACGTCGTCTTCCATCTATCCCAGGCCTGCAATTATTACAAAAATTCTAAGGAACAGTTTATTGACAAAACATTCAAATTATCATCAAATACAAGACAGAAATACAAAGAGTGACTAATAGCTGGGAAAATGGAAAATTGTAAGACAACCCATCTTACAATTTGTACACTGTTTGATCCACAGCCCATGATTATTCTTACCTGATATTTCTAAGACACGCTGTTTGATCCACAGTCCATGAGTATTCATCATTATGTTTTGTGTACATAAAACAAATCCTTTTCTCCGGAACCTGATCCTGAATATATGTACATTGTACATTTACGTATATGTACAATAAAGTATGTTTTATAAAACTAATCTTTTTCTCTAGAACTTTGTAAGTTTGAGTAAAAATATAAATAATGAAGTGATTTGGTGAAAGCCAAAATAAATATATAATCTATATATATATATAATCTCGGGAGACCCACGGGAATGTTCTATAGCTTATTTTTAAGATTTTAAGTTTAATGAATTGACCTCAAGAGCCAGAATTTAGTTTCCGGGTAAAATCGTTCAAGTGCGGGTAAACAGCGAGCGTAAATATGAGTAACCTGGGCAGACAAGCTAGAATCAAATAAAAGTCTTAAAAAAATAAGAAAAAAAGAATGCAGCTCTTTAGCAGAACACTCTGGTTCAAATATAAAATAATTTTAGGAGTTCAACCGAGCTCTTTAGCAGAACACTCTGGTTCAAATATAAAATAATTTCAGGAGTTCAACCGAGAATATTTTCAAAACTATTTTTATGCATTTTCTCAGAATATTAAATTTTGTTTAACATATTTATCCACTGGATATCAAAAACACAAACAAAAGGCAAGAGTAATGGTAAATATTAAAAGTTTACAAATGCACTTCTATCATATTCTTAACTTTTATTTCGATTAATTTGAATTCTAATAATGTAAACCAGATAAATTTACAAACTATCTATTTTTGAAAATTTTAAATGAAAAGAATATAATGCAACACTTCATGCTAGTATTTATTTTGGTAAATATATCGAAATATTCACGCGTTAAATCAACACACGAAATCACAACACGAAAGGAAATGAGTTTTTGCCACAAACTCAAACCTTCCGATCCCAATATCTGTGTAACCTGACGGTGCAAACCTTTGACATTTCAAACTTATATTATTTTATCTATAAGTATTAATAGTTTGAAATATCAAGGTCTACGACATTGGTTTACAAAGATATAGAGTTTAGAAAATCAGAGTTTGTGGCAAAAACTCAACTCATTTGTTAAATTTCAAGTTTTCTTTTCATTACATTAACTCATAAAAGGTATTAATTAACATTCAAATTATAAGAAAAGTAAGATTGGATAAAACGGTTGCTGAATCTTTATTTGATTAAAGTCGATTAGGGTTAAAAGGATGATGTGTTGTAAATATTTACTTTGCTTGGTAAACCAGTGTAATATAAATATAAAAATATACACACATCACATTGGATCGTCAAAAGGCCTGAATTACGATTTTCGGGAATAATGAGAAATTTTAAGAAAATGATTCATTTTGAAAAATTTAATTAGGCTAAAAAATGTTCTTGCTGAAAATGCCAGGTTTTTAAGCAATGTGTTTTTATTTTGGCGTTTAAGCTTGGAGATAATCTAATATGATATGGGACGATATGTATATCTATATAATACAACTGTACAGTATGAACCAGTGTACTACAGATCTATAAAACTCCAGTACAAGATGAACCAGTGTACTAGATATGTAATGCAGAGGCCCCCATAGTAAATCTAGATACATTACACTGTACATTTTCCATATATCTAAATGTGCTCATTAGTAAATACGTAAAATCATGTATTGCGATTAACCCAATCTTGATACATATATATTTATATATATATATACATCTATATACCCATATTGTGATTGCTATAACTACGTTATATATATATATAACCGCGCATAGCTTGTAATTAGGCCTAATTTTACCTAACATGAAGATATAATACTCAGTTGATATAGAGACTCTGATTTGATTACTGTGAGCGAGTAAAATATGTACTTATTCTAAACGAATGAGTTGAAGATTGTGCCCATTGGTTTGGCAATGATTGATCAAGTGCTTGTGTCCCTGGAGAGACATTGAGAGCTGATCGTGCCCATTAGTTTGGCATTGATCGATTGAGTGCTTGTGCCTGTGTACACAGTGATAGCTGATCGTGCCCATTGTTGTGGCAGTGATCGATCAAGTGCTTGTGTCCCTGGAGAAACATTTATAGCGGATCGCGCCCATCGGTTTGGCGTTGATCTATAACGAGCTTGTGTCCTGGTTGACAATGATAGCTGACGAGATTGTATCTGTGCTTAGCATTGATAGCTGAAACTGAAATGTAACTGGATAAATAAGGGTTCGAGAACCGTAGATGGAGTAGGGCATTTACTACAGATATATTACTCCAGTACAAGAAGAACCAGTGTACTAGATATATAATACGAGTACAGGATGAACCAGTGTACTAGATATATAACTTGAGTACAGGATGACCAGTATTGCGTAATTTCAGCTCCAATTGAAAACGAATGTCAAATAATACTTTTAGGAATAGCTAAAAGGAGTTTCTCGGTACATAATATTTTTATAAGTTTATGATGACGAGTTATTATTCTAATACGCATAGTGAAAACAAAATTTGGACCGGAAGAACACACTAATTTACATGTTAATAATAAGTAAACTTTTAGCCGTAAATTTTATTTTGTTGCATCAATTATTTTAGTTTGTATCCTTTCTGTAAAATATAAAAAAAAACTGGGTATATGATGATTGATGAATTTTAAATAAATGTACATCTACATTTGTAACATGTGGAATTTACTGTTTTTGTTTTACAATGGTTTTATATTTTAAATACTGTACGTACTGTATTTATTATATATCTTATTATAACTATGTATGAGGTACAGAATATTATCAGGACATTATCTTAATTAGAAAAGTTTTAAATTACATGAAAATAGACCATAGAGTTTAACCATTAACAAGGTTAAAAGAACAGGTGGACTTAGTTTCTATTGCCCCTGTGATCGGGCTAGGCTAAATGGTTGCATAAAACGTGCCAGGTCGACTCTACACTGGGTAGTATGACTGGACAGTACGACTGATTGCATATACAGTACGTGTTGTGCCGTTGTGGATTATGCAACTTTTATAGTGGGGTGTATCTTAGAAAAAATAAGAGAGTATCGTCGTTTTTATCTGGTAAAGTTTTAATTGAGACAAATTCCTTTTTTCTCTTTCTGCATAAATGCGCGAGTCACCGTTAGAGAAAACTTTATTAGAAAATAATCAATTTTAAGAAAGAAAAAGAAGGATTACCTAAACATTTTACTTTGTGTTTAAAAGATACAAAATTGTAAATCAGACATCCTACTCTATACATAGAGGGTCAATTGAAATATCGTCAACAGTTCCTTTATGGGATGCTTAATCATGATATTCGATGAAGACATTGCTAATATTGTATCAGTTTAAAGATATGCATTGATGGATGGGAACCCAGCCATGTGGAGGAACATTTTTAAACCAAAAATATAAAATTTACAGCGGAATCGAAAAGAAAAGATGAAACGGCCGAAAGGAAGAGTAAAATTACTACAACTAAAAACAATGAGTTTCATTGGATGAAATTGTCTAAGTTTGAAATATAAATGCTTTACATCAGATTGTGAAGGTAAAGGGATTAGAACATTTGAGTTTGTGGAAAAAACTCAGTTCCTTTGCTTTCATCATACTTGTGGCGTATAATCAAAACCAGAGGAGCTACGAGGTCACAAAGTTCTAACCTGGGTTGCAACCACGTATCCTAAAGTAATATTTCCTAACTCTGATATATCATCATCTTCTACAAACAGACTAGACTCCTCTAGTGTACTGTACTGCTGGTAAGTGTTCCTGTACAGTGTACATAAACACATCAACTCTATTTTTGTAAAAAAAAATTGTGAATAAAAAAAATATTGTTATTGATCAAAAATAGCTTCATTATTTTATTTTTTGTTGATGTTAATTTCCTAAACTTTGTATGTATAAGTTGGTGTGCAGGAATAACAGTTTCCCATCCTCCCAAACATATATAGTTACGCTTAGGTCTCTGTTCCATCCTGGATACAATACAATACTTTTATTAACAACATCCTATTCAATACTGTTATAAACATTCTATTCTATTTCTATTCATATTCATTCATGAAATGGAAAACGTTTTACGAATACTTTAACCAAATTACAGTTTTCTATGTCTTAATTATGAGTGCGCTGAACTATTCATTTCTGAACAAATCTCGTAAAATATTATTTCTGTAAAAATGAATATACTTTTCAATAAAGACATTCGCCTTATTTTGCGGTCGAAATTCCTTTCCAGCCCTATGAGGAAGTGTAGTATGTACTTTCCAGCACTATAAGAAAATGCAGTATGTACTTCCAGCACTATAAGGAAGTGCAGTATGTACTTTCCAGCACTATAAGAAAGTGCAGTATGTACTTTCTAGCCCTAAAAGAAAGTGCAGTATGTACTTTCCAGCACTATAAGGAAGTGCAGTATGTACTTTCCAGTACTATAATAAAGTGCAGTATGTACTTTCCACCACTATAAGTCAGTGCAGTATGTACTTTCCAGCACTGTAAGGAAGTGCAGTATGTACTTTCCAGCACTATAAGGAAGTGCAGTATGTACTTTCCAGCCCTATAAGAAAGTGCAATATGTACTTTCCAGCCCTATAAGAAAGAAAGTGCAGTATGTACTTTCCAGCACTATAAGAAAGTGCAGTATGTACTTTCTAGCCCTAAAAGAAAGTGCAGTATGTACTTTCCAGCACTATAAGGAAATGCAGTATGTACTTTCCAGCCCTATAAGAAAGAAAGTGCAGTATGTACTTTCCAGCACTATAAGAAAGAAAGTGCAGTATGTACTTTCCAGCACTATAAGAAAGTGCAGTAAGTACTTTCCAGCACTATAAGGAAGTGCAGTATGTACTTTCCAGCACTATAAGGAAGTGCGGTATGTAATTTCTAGCACTATAAGGAAGTGCAGTATGTACTTTTTCACCGCTCAAAGGAATAAAATTGATCTATAGTTAGAGTCCCTATTTATGAAAGTTTTATATTTACTTATCAGTAATATTTTAATATTTTTCTTTCAATACATGTTTGTCAATACAAAAATTACATGAAAAATGAAATTCTGCAGAAAATATTGAACATTTCCTTTCATGCTTTGACATATAAAAATATTCAAATACATCTGACAAAAACATATAAGAGACTTTTAAATCGAAACTGTTAACAAATTGAGATTTTTCCAATTGAGCTATTACAAGATTTAAACCAAGCAATGTACATTGTACAAATGTGCAAGATTTTCGTGAAAAGTGATTTAGCACAAACCTGGCAGAAACCTTAATGTAAATTTTACTAATCAAGAATTACGGATATTGGTATGAAACAATAGTGTAGTCATTGATCATAACTAATAATAATAATGATTAGGATGAAGAAAAAAATGTACATTGTAAAGTGTAAATTACAGAAATGCACATTTTATTGTTCAGTAAAATCACATCCAAGAAGAGTAAAGGAATTGAGTCTTTGTCACAAACTCTGAATTTTTAATCCCCATTTCTTTGGAACCCAATGTCGCAAATCTTTGATAATTCAAACTTATATTATTTGATCTAACAGAATTCATAGTTTGAAATATCTAAGGTCTACGACATTGGAATCCAAAGATATAGGGTTTAGAAAAGCAGAATTTGTGGCAAAGACTCAATTCCTTTAACGTTGGATGAAAATCCTAATTGTTTTAATCATTATAGTTTGGTTTCAGAAGTCGTTATTTGGAAGGAAAAAAAAGTTTTGACTTTCTAATATTTAACCAAATAAATTTGCTTTTATTATACTAAAAATCTAAACTAGAGGAGATTCGAGGTCACAAAGTCGGACCTGTACATCAATTTGCCTCTTTCTTAGCTTATGTCTCGATTGGAGTAAAGTATACACTACTAGAATCAAGGCGCTTCGCGCCCTTCTTTCTAGCCTTAGAGAGCGCTTCGCGCCCATCTTCTAAATTAATTGTGAACATGTTCTCTTTGTGTACATCAGTCTACAGTCTACAGTCTACAGTCTACAATCTACAGTCTACAGTCTACTGTCTCAAGTTAAATTCTACATTCTACTATCTTTAGTCTGCACTCTGCAGTCTACAATAAAGTTCAAAACTTTAAAGACCTCTGTAATACTTTATAAAGTTTAAACTTTTGACAATTCTGATCATTTTCTAAATTTTTAAGCATGTTTGAACAAAACTTTACTTTTTTCGTTTTTCTAATTTATTTATTCATTTTATATTCAAAAAAACGTTGTAGAAGTGAAAAATGGCAAACCAACGGTTTTTTGAAACACTTTTCTAAATATACATCTGTATAGGAAAGTGTTTAGAAAAACCCTGTATATATATACATGGAGGTACAAATTAATCAGTATATAATATATAGTTCTGAATCAGTGCTTGTACAGCTATTTTTCTAATCAGTATTTGTATTTATAAGATTTACACCTCTTCTTCAACCAATGATACAACACTACAGAAAGAGCCATAAAAGTATGGAATAGGAAGAGTAAGACTACTGCTAGACTAAAGTTATTATTTTGAAAAGTTCAATGAAGAAAAGAACATCAATATAATATTTAAGTTGCCAACTGTGGCAAGAAAAAATTGAAAATTGAGAGAGAAAGAAGTTGTTTTTCTCATATAACGTTCTGTCAATTTTATCCATTAATCCATTCAATTATAGAAGATCTACCTACACAACCTAGATAAATTAGACTTTATAGCTCATGTCGTCTTCGCCATACCTGAGTGTTTCAGTTGAAATTGAAAATTTTAATTTAGCTTTGTATTAGCTACGTCCATACAGTACATTGAATACATCGAACACGTTTTCTTTAATTAATTGTATTTCTTTGTTTGGTTGAGCTTTTAGTTTTAATTAATAAAGTCAAAGGAATAAAATTGATCTATAGTTAGAGTCCCTATTTATGAAAGTTTTATATTTACTTATCAGTAATATTTTAATATTTTTCTTTCAATACATGTTTGTCAATACAAAAATTACATGAAAAATGAAATTCTGCAGAAAATATTGAACATTTCCTTTCATGCTTTGACATATAAAAATATTCAAATACATCTGACAAAAACATATAAGAGACTTTTAAATCGAAACTGTTAACAAATTGAGATTTTTCCAATTGAGCTATTACAAGATTTAAACCAAGCAATGTACATTGTACAAATGTGCAAGATTTTCGTGAAAAGTGATTTAGCACAAACCTGGCAGAAACCTTAATGTAAATTTTACTAATCAAGAATTACGGATATTGGTATGAAACAATAGTGTAGTCATTGATCATAACTAATAATAATAATGATTAGGATGAAGAAAAAAATGTACATTGTAAAGTGTAAATTACAGAAATGCACATTTTATTGTTCAGTAAAATCACATCCAAGAAGAGTAAAGGAATTGAGTCTTTGTCACAAACTCTGAATTTTTAATCCCCATTTCTTTGGAACCCAATGTCGCAAATCTTTGATAATTCAAACTTATATTATTTGATCTAACAGAATTCATAGTTTGAAATATCTAAGGTCTACGACATTGGAATCCAAAGATATAGGGTTTAGAAAAGCAGAATTTGTGGCAAAGACTCAATTCCTTTAACGTTGGATGAAAATCCTAATTGTTTTAATCATTATAGTTTGGTTTCAGAAGTCGTTATTTGGAAGGAAAAAAAAGTTTTGACTTTCTAATATTTAACCAAATAAATTTGCTTTTATTATACTAAAAATCTAAACTAGAGGAGATTCGAGGTCACAAAGTCGGACCTGTACATCAATTTGCCTCTTTCTTAGCTTATGTCTCGATTGGAGTAAAGTATACACTACTAGAATCAAGGCGCTTCGCGCCCTTCTTTCTAGCCTTAGAGAGCGCTTCGCGCCCATCTTCTAAATTAATTGTGAACATGTTCTCTTTGTGTACATCATAAAACAAAACAAAAATAATTCGCGGATTTTCACAAAAAATTTCGCGGATTTTCAAAATTTTAAAAAATTTAATGACGATCGAATTTAGATGGAGACAAATATTTAAAATTTCAATCATTCATAAACCTTCCCTGGGGTCCCTAAAAAATTTGGGCCCGATCGGTTCAGCCGTTTTGACGTTTATTGGATACAAACATACAGACAGACAAGCCAAATTTATATATAGATTATACAGATATATTTGTAACTAAAGGTTCCTGCAGTAGAAGTCCAAGTATTAACATAACACTTATATTTCAGGCCCCACTGCCTACGATGAAACTTTTATTGCAAATTTTTGTTTTCTATATTTGCAGTAGACAGACAACTTTATTTATAAAAACAGAACATGTAAGTGGTTGGGTACAGTGGGCTCAGTATATACCTAGATTTTAAGAATATTTTTTCTCATTTATTCTTCTTTACAAAGACAAAAAGCGTAAAAGATTCACTTAGAATTTCTTCTGTTGTCCTCCCCTCCCCTGCCCCCCTCCCACCAAAAAAGGAAGGGACATAACAAATATATTAAGACTGCACTGATTGCTGAGACTGCTAATGCAAGAAGACAGCCAGACTTGTGTACAGACAGTCAACAGTTTACAGTCTACAGTCTACAGTCTACAGTCTACAGTCTACAGTCTACAGTCTACAGTCAAAAGTCTACAGTCTACAGTCTACAGTCTACAGTCTACAGTCTAAAGTCTACAGTCTACAGTCTACAGTCTACAGTCTACAGTCTACAGTCTACAGTCTACAGTCTACAGTCTACAGTCTACAGTCTACAGTCTACAGTCTACAGTCTACAGTCTACAGTCTACAGTCTACAGTCTACAGTCTACAGTCTACAGTCTACAGTCTACAGTCTACAGTCTACAGTCTACAGTCTACAGTCTACAGTCTACAGTCTACAGTCTACAGTCTACAGTCTACAGTCTACAGTCTACAGTCTACAGTCTACAGTCTACAGTCTACAGTCTACAGTCTACAGTCTACAGTCTACAGTCTACAGTCTACAGTCTACAGTCTACAGTCTACAGTCTACAGTCTACAGTCTACAGTCTACAGTCTACAGTCTACAGTCTACAGTCTACAGTCTACAGTCTACAGTCTACAGTCTACAGTCTACAGTCTACAGTCTACAGTCTACAGTCTACAGTCTACAGTCTACAGTCTACAGTCTACAGTCTACAGTCTACAGTCTACAGTCTACAGTCTACAGTCTACAGTCTACAGTCTACAGTCTACAGTCTNTTATTAATCATTACATTTTTTAAAGGATTTAAGTTTAAGCCACAAACTCTATTTTTTTCCATGTACGACTCTGTGTCCTTGTAGCTTCTGTGGTTTTGATTTTACGCACAAGTATATGAGAGAAATAAATGTATTTGGTTAAATATAAGAAGTTCAAAACATCTTAGTTCTTCTCAATAATACTTCAAAAAAGAGAAGTTATGAGTGAACACTTAAGATTTCAATTTTACGTAAATTTTACTTTAGTTTAACGTGCTATATCTTTGTAAAACGATGCCGTATATAGACCTTAAATATGAATTCTGTTATATCAAATAGTCTAATGTTGAAATATCAAAAGTTTTCACCATCAGGTTTCAAAGAAATAGGTAGTAGAAAAGTTGAATTTGTGGCTAAAATTCAATTCCTTTTTTCTAAATATTCTTAATTAAAACTGACCTGAATAAAGTGCTCCTGGTCTCCACATCTGATGTTTAAATGGCTGAATCCCTGATTGTAGAAAACTATAATAAACCAAAACTATTCGTGGATTTTCAAGGGCTGGAGGAATTATAAAATGTTGCGTATTTTGAGAAAAATTATTTGTTTTGGAATATACGCTTTAAAATAATCTAGTGCAGACCCCATTAACGGTCTTCCGGTAATTCTTTAGAGACTAATGATTCCTTTGTCAGCAGAACCATATTCAACATTTTTCTTATTCTGTTTTAATGTTTCGTTTTTGGTTTTCATTAAAATAAAAGTACGTTAGATGCAGTTCCAGTCATTTTAGTTGATAGCATGCAAGCTAATCATTTCTCTAGAACCTGAGATGAACTTTTGGAAATTAAGAAAAATATCCTAATTTAGATTTTTTATGTTTTAGTTTGAATTTATTGCTATTTTCATTAATTTTTTCCCCATGAATAAGACATTTTTTGGAAATTTGAAAAAAATATCAATTTTTTTGATTTTTTGTTCTAGTTATATTCAAATACAGGGTGTCCCACGAAATATGACAATAGCAAGACGACTTGAAAGTCGTCTTTGGTATTTGAATTTATTTGTGACATTTAGTCTTCTATCTACTTTAACATGTATGATTCTTGAAACAATTATCACATAATTCTCCTAGCCCTGGCATTTCCAAAAAGTGGTCTGCGTTTTTTGTGCTTTCAATATTACCGGAGATATAAAGAGTTTGGTTCAGATTTCA